TGATCCTCCTGGTCCCACCTCCTGAGAGTGGGATCGAGCCTGTGGTACCCACATAAGCCTTCCACTTACTGTGGAAGGTCGTCTCCGTAGATATTTCTTTCTCTGCCTTAGCTCAGTGGTCTTGGAGTTGCTGGAACAGGGTCTCTGAAGCACTTGCTATCACAAACTGCGGGGGGCTGCCCAGGGTCACTGACTCAACCCATCTAGGGGAGTCTAGGACTCAGGTCTAGTTAACCAAGTTTGAGGAGGAAGGAGATCAGGCCCTGAATCTCGGCTGCTCTGCCTTAGGCTCCTGAAAGTCCTAGGAGGATGGAGGAATAGGGGTGGTATAGAGGGTTCCTTTAAGAAAAGGGTGACCAATAGGCCCATGGAGAGGGTGAGAACTTGTTCCACGGATGATGAGGTCTCTGGGTTGAACATCTCCAGGAAAGAATGTCTGAGGGTCCTAAGGAGGTAGGACCGAGCTAAGTTCCTAGGGCTCATTAAGAATTCCCCAGTTAGGATGACAGTGGCATTAATTCTAGCTGGGCGTTGGTGGCACACGCCTTTAATCCCAGCACTCGGGAGGCAGAGGCAGGCAGTTCTCTGTGCACTCAAGGTCATCCTGGTCTGCAGATCGAGTTCCAGGGCAGTTAGGGCTACACAGAGAAACCCTGTCTCAACCCCCCTCCCCTGCTCCCCCCCCCAATCCCTCCAACACCAACTGTGGCTCAGAGCACAAGGGGCCCCCAGCTACAAATCTATACACTCACACTCGCAACAGGGCGTCTTTGCAATGAAGAGAGCTTGGTGATCACAGATCCTGCTCCTGTAGAGACCATCAGCCACGCCTTACATTTTTTATTTGTTTTTCGAGACAGGGTTTCTCTGTGTAGCCTCAAACTCCCAGAGATCCGCCTGCCTCTGCCTCCTCAGTGCTGGGATTAAAGGCGTGCGCCACCAACGCCGGCCCACCCCTTACATCTTATTAGAACTTCACTCACCAGCTAAATTCAGAGACCCTGTCCCTTTAACTTAGCCCTCTCGCTTGTAAAGTTATGACAGTAATGATTGTTGTTGGGCTTCTTGTCCTAGCTTCCAGTGGCTTTTCCTAAGGACTATTTTACCTTAAATCCTTCTCCATGCAATCAAGAGAATATTACTTAATATCAGGCTGTGGCGGCATATACCTTTAATCTCAGCACTCAGAGGCAGAATCAGGGGTAAATCTGAGTTCAAGACCAGCCTGGTCTACAGAATGAATTGCAGGATAGCTAGGACTACACAGAGTAACCCTATCTAAAAAAAAAAAAAAAAAAAAAAAAACAAACCAAAAAAAAATGCAATAATTTTAATCTACCTAAATGAGTGTATGGGTGGGTGGTCCTTAGATGTGGAAGACAGCACTTGTAGGTCTTCAAGTTTTCAGAAATTCCCTCAGGATGTGTGATGTTTTTCGCATGCGCCTGCACACACACACACACACACACACACACACACACACACGCACTCACACTCACACACACACGCTGTATAATGTATGTGTGTGTGTGTATGCCATAGTTACGGACGAGTGCTCCACACCCCACCCTGCCTGCCTTGGAACAGACCCTTCATTCCCCAGGAACGGGAAGAGTTCAGATGAGATCCCTGAGGGACATGCTTCCCATCACCAGCAACATCTGGGCAACATCTGGTGAGGATCCCAGGACAGGGAGATGCTTTTCTGCAGAAAATACATCACTTATTTGATTGTGTATTTTTTCCCCTTTAATCTCCTTCTCCTCCTGCCTGCCAGACTCCCTCGCCCATCGGGTTCCCCCGGCTCTAAGCCCCCACTTCAGCCCGTGCCAACTCCCTGCCCTGCTTTCAGCCTTGTCTGGTTTCCTGGATACAGAGCCCGCCCAGCAGGATGCAAACCTGGGTAGTTCTAGAGAACCTCATTAATTCTGGAGTCCAGCCTTGCCCAGCTCCCTCATCAGCATCTTGCAGAATCCTAGGCAAGGAATGTGCAGCTGGCTGTGCTCTCTGGTCCAACGCTCCCATTTTATGCATTGGAAACAGGAGCTGGCAAAGCAGAACAGCACTTCTAGGCACCATCAAAGGCCTCTTTCCGGGCTGGGGAGGTAGCTCAGCTGGTAGTGTGCTTGCCTAGAATGCACAGAGCCCTGGGTTCTATCCCCAGCACTACATAAAATCTTGAGTGCTGGTACCTGACTGTCATTCCAGCACTCAGGAGGTGGAGGCCAGAGAATCAGAAAATTCAGTCATCCTTAACTGTACCTTGAGCTTAGGCCAGCCTTGGGTACACGAGATGGGTCCCCAATGCTATAAACCCTTTTTCTGGTGACAGGAAGGCTGGTGGTGCAATCCTTTGCTTGGGCTGTCAAGGGCTGCAAACCGGCAGGCCCAGGGACACCAGCTGAGTATCTATTGGTGGGTGTGTGTGGCCTGAAGGGACAGTTCTGTGACCTGTCACCTTTACAGACTGGTATGCAGTTCTGCAGTTTGTTTTGTTTTGAATCAGGGCTTCACTACTTGTGTAGCTCTGGCTGTTCTAGAACTCACTGTGTAGAGCAGGCTGACCTCCAACTCAGAGATCCAACTGCTTCTGCCTCTAGGGTGTTGGGATTAAAGTGTCTAGAGTATTGGGATTAAAGGCGTGTGCCACCGACGGTCGCCAGGCCATGTTTTCTTTTTCCCCCCTCCAAGACAGTTTCTCTGGGTAGCCGTGGCTGTCCTGGAACTCGCTCTGTAGAGCAGGCTGGCCTCTAATTCAAGAGATTCGCCTGCCTCTGCCTCCTGAGTGCTGGGATTACAGACGTAATCGCTCGGTTTGTTTGTGTGTTTGCTTTTGAAGCAATGTATACCCTGGCTGTTCTCAAACTGACTTTCAACACGGCTGACAAGTGCTTACATCTTCAGCTACTCCTGTCCACTATTTCCTGTGCAGCCTCAGCCACCACAGCTTCAATGTAAAAAATCTGTGTGTCAGGGATCTCATCTGCCCCCCCAGACCTCAGATTACCACAGACGAAGGGCAGGCTGCACCCTCCCTCAACCAGGCCTGTGGTCTGCACATGTCCACCCAGGACTGAGGAAGGGACCCTGCCATCATCTCTACCCTGGATGCCATTTAGGCAGGACAGAAGGTCACCTCCCTACTGCATCCGGGGGAGGGGAGAATGGAATCCTGAGGGTTGGACTAGCCACTGACAACATTCATCTAGAGCAGTCAGAAGAACCCAGAATGCAGCGGGAGCTGAGCTGGGGGGGAGGGTCGAGCTTCCACGAAGGCTTCCCGGAGGAGGCAGTACACGCTGAGCCCTCCTCGGCGTAGCTGGGATTCCCGCAGGTGAGAGCCGAGAAGGGGTGAGAATTACAGACGGTGCAGCCCGAATGGAAGAACGAAAACGCTCTAGGTGCTGGGTGGAACTGAACCTGCGATGGGCCGAGTAGGGCTGGGGTGGGCTCCTGAGATAGAAGCTGCTTGCTAGAACAGACTTTCTTCTGTCCAGTAGCACAGGCAGCTGGCTGCGAGCCTAGGGACGGTCTTGGCGGGAGCCGAGAAGGCAGCAGGGCAGCTTTAAATTAGTTGCTAGGGTCCGGCCTAGGAGAAACCAGATTCTTTTTTGTTTTAAGGGAGGGGGGTGGGGGTGGGGAAGCTGCTTTCAGCCGTGTCTACTTTAGGTATTGTCCGGGAGCAGGGGCTCTGGCCCCAGGGCAGAGGTGAAGGCCGGGCCCGGGGATGACCTTTTCCGCCCTCTCTCCTTCCTCATCCCGGGCTCGGCTCCAGTCTCGGGGAGCTTTCTGCGGGATCTGGGAGCAAGGGGGTGGAGTGGGGGCCCGGGGAGGGTCGTCCGATTGGACTGATAAAAGGTTGCCTAGGGCGGGCGCAGGCAGGGGGAGGAGCTCGCACCGCTCGCA